CACTGGAGCTACAAACTCTAAAAAGATAGGCTTTCTCAGAATCCCTCATTACCCCCACCGAAAGGGCTCCATTACCCCCAAAGGGGGCATGCCCCACCATTTGCCGACCCCTGCACTAAAGCATCACGGAATCCCAGAGGACCTGCGAGTCGACGAGGTGGCCGCTTTGGCCGCCGGGTACTGCAGCTCCCTGGAGTTGCCTGGGACCGATGGCAAAACAACAGCTCCGGCGGTGCCCCTATGGGCCGTAGTAATTAGTGAATTCCCGTAATGTAGAGATCATATCCTCAATGATCTCCATTACCATTTTATATTCCTAAACAACATGACAGACCAATTATGCTTGCCTACGTTCAGGCATTACCTCTGATGGTCATACTCCCAGTACAACATATGTTGTCTGTCAAACAACAATCGACGACTGGATCCCTTCTCATCATCTCTTAAGCCATCGGTTGTCAATTCACCCACCCCGTTTCCCTAAAAATAGACGGTCAGATTCGGCCTGGGTCCTTACGACCCCTCTAAATTCGCCAGAGACGGGATCGGATCGCCGTTATTGCACCCGTCTTAGTGTCTTAAATATTATGACAGCTTCGACCACGGACGTCGGACGGGGTGATCGTTCCACGAATGTACGCACCATCCAGGCCTAGGATGCATCGAGGTTTAAAAGGATGCAGTCTGTAAATCAATCAACAAACAATGGTGGTATGCAACCACTTTAAAATATCTCCCTCATGGCTCCCGCAACGTTCCAACGCCCCTCCGTTATGCATTCGCCCTGTGTGTCCGCCGAGCCGGCTTGCCTCCAATGACGTCATCGGCCGGCCGGCGGCGTTCAAGGTCAAACGGCTGGTGTCCTTACCTGGAGTTCTATAGCCTTGAGCCAACGCAAGAAGTTTAGAATTGGTCATTTGGGTCATGACATGACCTGAAAACAAGGTCATATCTCCAAAACCAAAAACCACAGAATCGTGAAATTTTCAGTGGACATCGAGAAAGGATAGAGGAGCAGCTATACGAAAAATCAGGCTTCTAGCTCTAAAAATGTTGAGTGCAGAGTAGAAAAGCTACCTGGGAGTGGCATCCCCCCCCCCCCCCATGTGCGGGCGAGGGTTAACCCGCGCCCCGCTGGGGGGGGGCAGAATCTGCCCCCCCCTCCCGTTTTTCGCCAATAACTTCTAAACGCGTTACGCCAGCGACGTCAAACTTACAGTACCTTATCATACATCAATTTGACACGTTCCCTGAAAATTTGAGCGAAATCCGTCGGAAAATATTTGAGAAATTGACGTTTTAGTGACGTCATGTTGGCCATTTTCGCCTCAAAAACGGCAAAATTTCAAACGCCGCTAACATCTTTATTTTTAAAGCAATCAAGACGTAACAAAAAGGGTATACGTGATTCAACTTTGTCTATCAAATGGCTATCTAAGTTTTTTGAAATTTTGGATTTTGGCCCAAATTTTTTTAAAAAACTGACTTGGGAAAATAATTATAAAATCCAAAATTTTGAGTGTATCGAAAAACCGGAAAATATGACAGAGAACTGATCTATATGCACCTACATACCAATTTTTAGAAGAATCGGTTCAAAAATGTGGGAGTTATTCAAAATTTTATGACGTAACGACACACAAAAAAAATCCGAAAATGTTTTTTTGGAAGTTCTAGACCTCGTACGGAAACAAAAATAGCACCATTTGATTCGCCGTGAAAAACTGCATCGGATAGGCACCTTTTTAGGCCTTAACAACCAACTTCAAAATTTGACCTCACTTGACCTGACCTTGACCTGACCTCGACCTGAAATTCATCCAGAGGTGGTCCATATCACTTATTGAGGGTGCCTATTGAATTCTATGAGTAAAATGACCCATAAAACATGTGTCGCACATGCCCTTTTCTATATTTTGTTTTTGGTGACCTGACCTGACCTGACCTGACCTTGACCTTGACCTTTGAATGACATTGTATGCAACAAATATTGTCTTGGTAGTTTAAGAACACGTTTGGGGCAATCAGTCTCAGTCCATTCTTCGGCAACTACGGTGCAAGGCCGATACTGTAGAAACTTGCATTTTGTACCCTTGACCTGACCTTGACCTGACCTCTGACCTACTTAAGCAAAAAAATTTGGACTCTTATGATCCGACTTGTTGAGAGCTTTCGATTGCCGTTTTCCCCGTCTTTCTACGACCATCGGTTCGGAAGTTAGACAGGGGGGCAGAATCTGCCCCCCCCCCCCCCCCCAGCAGGGCGCGTATGGCTGAATAGCCCAGCGGGGCGCGGGTTAATGAAGAAATGTGGCTAGATACGGAAAAGTGGGATGCTATCATGCAGATTAACTTGTCTGCTATTTGGCCCATTTTCAGTGCTAATTACCAAACGATTTATTATAATGCTTCATTTGAAAGCTCGACACAGGCACAATCGTCGGTCTTTGCATTGCTCCTTCATAGAACCAAAAGAAATCACGTTTTTTATTTTGAATATTGACTTACTTTTCATCGACGGGTTCGATCTCCTTTATCACGCAACGATTTTCCGGGAAGTCAGCCAAACTTGTTGTCTTTTTGTCTCAAGTTGCTAGGCGGTCGCAAGGTAGCGAAAGATACTTTTGCTCTGACATTTGTAGGTACTTATTTTTCCTCATGATATTGACATGTTGCTGTTTCTGAGAACCTAATTCTCGCTGATAAAAATGCAGTTTTCTTGAAATGTGTTTAAAAGTGCCGTAGCATGAACACAACTCTGCAATTCTGCTCGGAAACCTGCACAACCCTGACTTCCCGGAAAATCGTTGCGTGATAAAGGGGATCGAACCCGTCGATGAAAAGTAAGTCAGTATTCAAAATAAAAAACGTGATTTCTTTTGGTTCTATGAAGGAGCAATGTAAAGACCGACGATTGTGCCTGTGTCGAGCTTTCAAATGAAGCATTGTAATAAATCGTTTGGTAATTAGCACCGAAAATGGGCCAAATAGCAGACAAGTTAATCTGCATGATAGCATCCCACTTTTCCGTATCTAGCCATATTTCTTCATTATAGTACATTTTTGTCACCGACGCATGTTAAAAAAGTTCAGTTAAATTTTTGCATAAAGGTGGCCTGCTGAAAGGCTGAAGCGCGAGAGACGGTTAATTTCAGTCGACGCCAAAACTCGGAAATGCCTATCAAAACCCATGCATAAAAACACGGCGGTTAATTTCATTATACGGCAGTTTTCTTCTCTTCAAAAGCTCCCTGTTAAACAATGCATTCGATGACTGAAACTTCAATAAAAGTCCGGTCATAGCTTGGGTCATAGCGGGTCATAGAAGCTTGCAGCTTGGAATAAAATAAATTGCGAAACAGATTGATAAAAGTCCGGTCATAGCTTGGGTCATAGCGGGTCATAGAAGCTTGCAGCTTGGAATAAAATAAATTGCGAAACAGATTGACAGGTGAATTTTGAAAAGAACACAGCCTTAATGTAATGACTTATCGTATGCATTTCAAAGAGATGGCTTAGCAGGTTACGCAGAAATTTAGAAGGCAGATTTCGAGGTACACTTAGTTCTCAAGAGCCAGTGAAAAGAGCAATTGAAGATGAACCTTACAAAGCGGGAAGAACTGCACTGCCAGGAGCCAGTGTTTGTAGTAAGATCGACGTTTCTTATCATACTTTCATGGATATTGGATGTCAAAATATAGGAAAGAGGAGGGAACGCAACGACATTTTCCCACTTATGAGGACAAAGCATGTCTCCGCAACGTCTACTCCTCACTCGCAATTGCTTCGTAGCATGAATGTCTAATAAAAGTAACAGACGCGTCTCGCATGTTTACCAGGAAATATCTGAGAAATGAGGGATGAATTTCAAGCAAAATACGACATGGTATGCAATTTACAATTTGTATAGGTATACTGAAACCAAGTGGTAGATTAATTTCGTTATTCGCCCATCGTGTGTTAAAGTCCATTGGCAATAATTTTCATTATACGCCCAAAGCTTTACCCATTTGCTGCCCCCCCCCCCCCATCTTCCGTGCCCCTCCTTGATGTCGAAGCCCGAAAGCGAACCCTTTCTCAGAGATGCGTTGGTGTTCGGTGCCAAAAAATTTACTATAATAAATTTAATTACCCGGTCCGAATAATATACCAGCCATGATACGGTCGCTTTTCCTCAAGGGTGTTTTCATTGAATATGCTCGCAGGCTCGCACATTCAATGCGAAAATTGCACTCATTTCATTCGTGCAATTTTCGAAAATAGCATCCTCACTCCGTTCGGACGCTATTTTCGATAAAATAATGTCCTCACTTCGTTCGGACATTATTTTAAAACACCCTTGGGAAAGCGACCGAATAATGTCTGGTATAGTGCTCGGACCGGGCAATTAAATATATATTAACCCGCGCCCCGCTGGGCTATTCAGCCATACGCGCCCTGCTGGGGGGGGGGGGGCAGATTCTGCCCCCCTATCTAACTTCCGAACCGATGGTCGTAGAAAGACGGGGAAAACGGCAATCGAAAGCTCTCAACAAGGCGGATCATAAGAGCCCAAATTTTTTTGCTTAACCCATTAGTGCCCAAGGTCCTTAAGGTGGTGTAAATTGTTTCATTTTTGCTGTATATACTTATCAGGAGTCACTGATTGCCTGTGATTTTTTGGAAAAAATTGGAGATATTTTTTACCTGTTTTTGGGGGTGGCAACATTTGTGACCAACGGGTCAATAAACACCATGAAATGGAATTTTAACCACTTTTTCTTACTTTTGTTTATAATAACGTCCAATCTTTCTGCGAAGACTTAAAATGTCAGCATCTGTAGTTGAGCACCTGTATTTTACGGCATTACCACACACAAAATCCAACACAAGGTAAAAGATATTTGACCTGCTTTGATGTCGACAAGGTCACGCCCACTGCGCATTTTTGGGCTTGTTCAGATCATCAGCCATACGTAGGAATCCAACTAGTGCTGATGCCCCTCTTGATCTTCCGTGTGCTCATGGAGTGTGGTACACCTTCATGCACTTTGGGTGCAGTGGAACGGCGCACTTCTCGCAGGACATGTTGGTTCGGCTGTTGCACACCTTGCAACGGTGGAACCCCCCACAGTACGGTTCCGCATGATAGAGATATCCGGTGGAGGCTGCCAGACACGACAGTTTGTACCCGTATCTTACAGGTTTGCCCCTTATGAACTGCTTGGTGCTGTGCCGTCCATAGTACGGTACCATTGTCTCGTCAACGCTCAGGTTTCTGGTGAGAACTGCCGTCTTGAATCCGGCGTTCAAGTGCTGGAAGTTCGGACGTACCTTGTAGTATCTGTCCTTGCTGATGTTGCTGTTGTCCGCCAGGTGCAGATTCTGGAGAAGTTCAAGAAACCTGTTCCTAGGCATGAGCTCCTGTGCCCACACAGATGACACGTCGTCCTTTGCAGACCACAGATGTTTCTTGTTGTGCGTCGTTCTATAGCCCGTCATCATCATCACACCGATGATTCCCAGCAGTTCCTCCATCGTCATGTTCAATCGTCTTCCGTGTTGCGTCGCGTACAAGTTGCTCTGCTCCAGGATATTTTCCAGCAACTCTCTCGTGAACATCTTTTGGAACAACTCACTTGGAGATGTGTCACCGACTTCTGAAGCATCGTTAGGGTCGCCAGCAGACAGTTCAACCCGAAATGTTGGTGGACAGTGCCTCCAGTTCCTGACCTTCTTCCTTTTAGGCCCTTTGACAGAGGTACATTGATCCGGCTCTTGTGTTGCAGAAGCAGCGACGTCACCTGATCCCTTTTCGTGTGTCCCATCGCGAGGAGCTGGAGACTGCTCCCCCGTCACTTCCCCTGATGTCCCCAGGACTCGGCGTGGGAGATGGGTTGTGTCACCAACGGTTTCGCCATCTGACTTGTCGGAGTCTTCGTCGGTATGGGCGTCATCTGCAACGAGAGAACCATTGACTCTGTAAGCTGCCCTAATTCCTCTATTACTCCGTTGCTGCCAGACCTAAACCCGAAAGGGATGCCTCGGGGTAAAAGCAAGACGTCTGCTGGGAATACAAGGGCTTTCCAGACCACCTTCGCTACGTTGATTTAGTAGTCAGCCGCAAGCTCGTTGATGTGAACCATGCCAGTCTTGCAACATCTTACCGTAATATACTTTGGTATATTTGTGTACGATATAATTGCTGCCACAGAAAATGGAACTCAGGAAGGCAGGGGCCCCTCCCCCCCCCCCAACCGTCCACATAAACGTCACACTGACTAGAAGGCGCTGTTGCATAAACGTTCGCAAGGAAAACACTAATCATTAACCATTGAATATGACAGGCTTAGGGTCCTTTCACAATACTACTGGTAAAGTAAGTCAGGTAATGTGTAGTTTCGTAAGTGAATTCGCACATAATTACGAGCTTAGACGCAAACATCGGAAGAAAAAAATTATCCGCAACCGACCCTCCTATAGTATAAGGCCACCAGGACGATGTAGCTCTTTTACTCTGGCCACACGTGTAGAGAAGTGCGTAAACGTAAGTGCGACCCTGTATTTTATCAATCATTCTCCTCCCATCCAACAACAATGCTCACTCATTCACACTACGCTGTAATTAGGTATGCCCTACATAGTATAGTCTGCCTACTACATATACCCCTTCTCATCCCCATTATCCACAATTTCCGAGAGCCCACTCACCCTTTTCGATGGGGGGCATGAGGATAACATCGATTTGGTCCTTCTCGACATCTTCATCTTCAAGCCAGCTGTCACTCTCCAGAAGGTCCAATATCTCATTTGCCGTGAGCCTGAAATGTGAAAAAGTCATTTATGTTGGAGTTTCTGCCCGTTGGTCACATTTGTTGCCATACATTATTTGCACGTGTGCCAGACAAAACAAAAAGCAAATGGAGTGAAACTAATAATTACAGGTTCTAAATAGGTTTAAATTCCACCCATACGACGTGCAAAAAATGATTTTTCTGAGAAAATATGAGTTTACTTACGGTTTTTTCGTACGCGGTCCGACCGAGCTCCAATCGGCGCCGACATCTTGCTGACAATGCCGAGATAGCGTCGCTTGTGAGGTTGCCATGCGCAAAATAGTACTGGGATCCTCCAGCTGGAAGATGCCTGAACGCGGGCGAAGTGGACCTTCCCAAAAGATGAAGCACATTTGACCGACAAAAAATCATTAACTTTGTGGTCACATATGTGACCAACGGGCTCTAATGGGTTAAGTAGGTCAGAGGTCGGGTCAAGGTCAGGTCAAGGGTACAAAATGCAAGTTTCTACAGTATCGGCCTTGCACCGTAGTTGCCGAAGAATGGACTGAGACTGATTGCCCCAAACGTGTTCTTAGACTACCAAGACAATATTTGTTGCATACACTGTCATTCAAAGGTCAAGGTCAGATCAGGTCAGGTCACCAAAAACAAAATAGAAAAGGACATGTGCGACCATGGGCGTCACCACCACTAGGGACACTAGGGACATTGTCCCTAGAAGTTTTGAAATCATCGAAAACTACTATGGATTGTCCCTAGAAGTTTTTGGAGTTCCCTCTACTGGGGACACGCAAAGAACCCGGGACACGATAATGACGCAACTTGCTCAGCTCTCCGAACACATGTGTTTTGCCTTGCGAACGGTCGCGTCAACATCGCCACGGTAAATAAAAAGGCCCGCGAGCGGTGTGCCTCCCCACAGATGTGACGGTGCCCTCCGGCCTCCAGGCACGTCCGTGTGGTCGCCGTAAAGCTGGATACGGCAGGCCGGCACTCGTCCGAGAAATTGGTCGAGTTTGTTTCCTAGTCACCCGAGGAGACACCCGAGCCGATTCTGGAGGTGCCCAGCATGATTGCTGAAACGAACTCGGCTGGTTACATACAGGTCCAGCTTATAAACCCGACCGATGACGATATGCAGCTGCCCGCCGGTTACGAGCTGGGGCAGACTCAGCTGTATGAGGGGCTGGTCGCCACAGTCTGCGTGGACCCGGCGGGAGGTCAGGATCAGGGCAGTACTGGGCAGCCGCTCTGGGCCGGCCGCTGGTCAAGCCAACATTTCCTAAATCAATTCCCTCTGGAACATCGGAATGGGGATCGGAGACGGCGGGTAGAGGGGGAGGCATCAGGGCTATGCCCCCCCCCCCCCCGAGAAAATCAGGGATCATCATAGAATTTGCCCCCCCCCCCCAAAACAATCGATGGGGCCCCGGACCTTATTCGATTGTCACGAGGCTCAAGAAACCCACGCCAGCTATTAACAGCTCCATACCGGTCTCCGAGGGTCCTACACTGACCTCTGAGTGCCCTTCCGTGGTGGTCAAGCGCCCACATTGACCGTGGAGGACACGCATTGACCTCTGAGGGCCCTCCACTGGCCTTTAAGAGCCCCTAAACCGGCCTCAGGGGCCCATCTGGCGTCTGAGGGCCTCACATCGGCCTCTGGTGGCATTTCTGTCTCTGGGGTACCAAGGTCCAAGACTAACCTTTACGTGTCCCTGACTCCTGAGGGCCTGGAGTCAGGCCCTCACCTGTCCCTGACTGGATTTTGAAGACCCGATGCCGGCCTCTAGTAAGGGCCTGCATCGGCCTCTGAGGGCCTATTTTGGCCTTTGGGGCCCTCTGCTGGTCTGTGGGATCTAACGCTGGCTCATGCCGGTCTTTTAGGAACCAACGCTGACCTCAGATGCCCCAATGCTGGCCTGTAAGGCCCATATTAGCCTCTGATGGCCCCGCACTGGATTCTAAAGACCCGGTGACGGCCTCTAAGGGCCCGCATCGGCCTCTGAGAGCCAATCTTGGCTTTTGAGGGCACTCTGCTGGTCTCTGGAGTCCAACGCTGGCCCATGCCGGTCTTTTAGGACCCCACACTGACCTCTGAGGCCCCATGCTTGCCTGTAAGGGCCAATATTAGCCTCTGAGGGTCCCGCACTGGATTCGGAAGATCCAATACCGGCCCTTTTATGGCCTGCATTGGCCTCTGGGGGGCCATCTTGGGCTCTGAGGGCCCTCTGCTGGCCTCTGGGGTCCAACGCCAGCCCATGCCGGTCTTTAAGGGCCCCGCACTGACGCCTGAGTGTTCCATGCTTGCCTGTAAGGACTCCTAGCCTCTGAGAGCCCAAGTCGGCCTCTGATGGTCTCAAACTGATTAGGCCTTTTACTGGTCTCTGAGGCCGTTAAACTGGTCTCTGAAGGCCCAAACCGACCTCTAAACACACCGACCTCTGATGGCCCAGTTTCTGCCCTTGAGACCCAAGACTGGCCCTTATGTGCCTCCGAGGGCCCCGTACTGGCTTCTGAAGGATCGATGCTGGTCTCTGAGGACCCATACCAGTATTTAAAAGCCCCACACTGACATCTGAGGCCCCACGCTAGCCTCTGAGGGCCCACACCGGCCTCTGGGGCCCCATAGCGGCCTTTGACGCCGGTATGGTAATAATGGGACCCCTGCAAGCTAGCATTGGGCCTCCCGATGGTCGACAGGACTTCTTTGCTAAGTTGCCCTCCCCCCCCCCCAAACGCCAAGTCTGCGACCGTCCCTGCATGCATAGGCAGAAGGATGTGGGCACGCGTTTCATGATCGAAGAATATGCCTACTACCGCGTAGCTTCTTCGTTTTTTTCAACTAAATATTAATTATTCTCCCTCGTTTTAAAAGTAGAATGGCCGAAATCCAACGAGGTACGCAGATTTGGGGGTAGGTGGGTACTGGCGACCAGACTCAAGCAAAGGTTTGTGGCGACGCCCTGGAAAAGTGTCCCTAGAAGTTCTGAAACCGTGGTGACGCCACTGTGTGCGACACATGTTGTATGGGTCATTTTACTCAGAATTCAATAGGCACACTCAATAAGTGATATGGACCACATCTGGATGAATTTCAGGTCGAGGTCAGGTCAAGGTCAGGTCAAGTGAGGTCAAATTTTGAAGTTGGTTGTTAAGGCCTAAAAAGGTGCCTATCTGATGCAGTTTTTCACGGCGAATCGAATTGTGCTATTTTTGTTTCCGTACGAGGTCTAGAACTTCCAAAAAAAAATCATTTTTCGATTTTTTTGTGTCGTGACGTCATAAAATTTTGAATAACTCCCACATTTTTGAACCGATTCTTCTAAAAATTGGTATGTAGGTGCATATAGATCAGTTCTCTGACATATATTCCGGTTTTTCGATACACTCAAAATTTTGGATTTTATAATTATTTTCCCTAAAAAGTCAGTTTAAAAAAAAAAATCGGGCCAAAATCCAAAATTTCAAAAAACTGAGATAGCCATTTGATAGACGAAGTTGAATCACGTATACCCTTTTTCGTTACGTCTTGATTGCTTTAAAAATAAAGATGTTAGCGGCGTTTGAAATTTTGCCGTTTTTGAGGCGAAAATGGCGAACATGACGTCACTAAAACGTCAATTTCTCAAAAAAAAAATCCGACGGATTTCGTTCAAATTTTCAGGGAACGTGTCAAATTGATGTATGATAAAGTATTGAAAGTTTGACGTCGCTGGCGTAACGCGTTTAAAAGTTATTGGC